CTTGGTAGATTGGACCCAACCCCATTAATATTGGGACTCTGATACTAATAATAGGACATTTAGGTCTTCAATTGTGAATTTCATTTTTTTTTTATTTAAATTGAAAAGGGAAGGGAACGGTTATTGTAAAGTGGATAGGTATATGGAAGTGGTTTTCTCATTTTTTAAAGACACAATAACAAACTGCCTGAGAACTACTCTTTCCTCTCCTCTCTGTTCTTCCTCCTAGTGTGCATTTGCTGTGAGACAACAGGTCTGAGTTCACCAAAGTAACTGGACTTCTATGTGGCTATTTGAATTTGATCCACTCTCCAGGTATGCCAGAAATCCTATATTTATGGTTGTACACACAATGTTAGTGAAATTCTGCACAAGGAAAGCAACTTGAACAAATAGAAGCTAGAATTTGAAAAAAAGAATGAAAATCCTGATAATTATACATACTAGCTCAAGTAGCGTTCTTCATCGTGTAGGCACTTCTTTGTTGATTTGCTATCACTGTGGAGAAGAATTGCTTTTCTTTACTCTCCTATGACTGCATTGGGTGATTTAGCATATATGCCCGAAATCCTATATTGGTATCAGAGCATTATTTATCTGTGGCCTACATTTTTTTTACTGCTCTTGTGTTCATTCTTCTATTGCTAAGTAACGGTTTTGAGATTTGCTTCACAATATATTATGCAAATCCTCTCTTTTACTTTCAATATGATTGTTCTCTGTGTCTGATATTTGTGATTAGACATGATGGGTTATTCTCTGCCTCCATGAACTCAATATGTTTAAAGATAGTTTTTGGGTTCCTTCAAATCAAGTTTTTAGGCCCAAAACCTATCCCATTGTGTAGAGGATGAAAAAACAAAGAAAATAATATAAAGTACGTGAAATTTGGACATTGGACAGTGGAGTTATGGGGAAAATATTTTTCGGGTCTGACGGGTCCGTCTAACCTGACCTGTTTGTAGAAACCATGGCATTAGCATTGTGTGGTCATGCATATTGACAGCTTGCATTCTTACAAATAGCTCCAGTAGGTCCCCCTCAGATGTCATTTTCTCATGGCTACGTGGAGGGACATGTTAATTGCAGATTTAGCTTGCTGATTTTGTCAATATAATTACTTCATATATGCTCATTCCTCCTATAATGATAATAATAATAGATAAATTATTATATACTATCCTGATCCTTAATATAAGAGCTAGTTGACTAATTTGATTAGATTAAAGAAGTTTGTTAAATTAGTTATTTGTATTAAATATGTGTTGTCTTTTTTAAAATACTCTTCCTAATCATGTATATTAGCTAAAACTATCATTTGATGCCGTATTTAACATGTACAACTACTATAATGACTATTTTGGGGGGAAAAAAGGATAAATATGAGCGAGACAAAGTGGATTGACGTCTTATATTTAAGACTAAATTAAAAGTTCAATAAGCTCTTATATTAAGGATTGGAGGTAATATAAGCTTTAGAAATTAAAGTCATCGTCATCAACAAAACCCAAACTTCCATATATTCTATATTACTTCGCCCTCGTATGATGCTTTATGTTAATGGTGACAACCAATATTTTTATGATCGACATAACAAAATCTATTTTCATTGGAGTGCATAAAAATAAATATTAAGACAATTAAAGGTGAGTATTAAAAAAATTAAGAATGAGTTTTGAAGAAATGAACTATATGATTGACACTAAAATCAAAGTGAAGTATTATAAAAATAAATAAATACTAGAAAAATTAAAAGTTAATATTATTGTTGGTCCTTGCTATTTGATTGAATTTTGACTTTATTTTCTATAGTTTTAAGTCATGGTTTTTCATTCCCATAGTTTCATAAATACTTGGTTTGAGTTAATATCATAAAGTATAGGAATCAAATCTCAAACTATGTACTTAAAGGAAATAAAATCAAAATTCATATGATTCCTATACTTTTAATAAGTTTTGATTTTGGTTCTTATATTTTTAATAAATTTATGTTGTGATCTTTATATTTAGCTGCGTAAACTCAGACCATATCCTTATAAAGTTATAGTGACTAAAAAAATATGATTTTAAATCACAGACACTAAAATTAAAAATTCTATGAAAACTAACAATTTGACCAAAAAATTAATGAGGGCTGACGCTAGGGATGACGATTTTGAAAGTGTTGATACTAGTGTAGAGAGGCAATTTTGTACACTCGAACAATTTATTTCCTGCTAAGGACCTAAACCCCCCCCCCCCCTTTTTTTAAAGAATTTACCATGTTTTGATGTAATTAAAGTTTTAAAAAAGAATGCTGAAACGTCATTCTCTCTTCAATCTGTTGTTTCATGTGAGTCTTTTTCACAACAGTTATTAGTTAGAAAACAAAAGCCGCTCAATAATGATACTAATAAGCTACAGAATGCTATGTTTGCCGTTTATTTAATTTAGAAAAAAAAAAGAGCTACTTTAAATTTAAGTTTAAACTAATTTGGGTGCCCACCTGAGGAAAAATATTTTAACATAATTTTTTATCTATAAAATTCAAATTTAAGAGTAAACTTATCTTTAATTATAGACATTTTCACATATTCAAAAAATAATTTGTACACAATTAAAAAAGAATTACATCCACCCAAAAAACTGAATCCTAGACACTATATACAATTAATTTTCTAGTAGAAAACTTTTTAATCGATTTTCTAAAAATAAAAAACAATATGTAAGAATTTCTTTTAAATGGGTCTCTACTAAAGAAAAATTGGGAGGAAAGAAAATTGGAGAAGAGAAAATAGAGAAAAGATAAAACTGAAGAGAGAATATTATCATCTTTAGTGTCTAGATGAATAAAAGAAAACAAAAAGGAAAGGAAATAAGCAACTATATGAATGACTAAAATGCTACTCCTCCGGTCCTAAATATAATACCCTTATACACACTAGTATAAGGGTCTTATATTTAGGACCGGAGGAATATTACACTTGTATCAAAATGTATTATGGTTAAAATTAAATTAAATATTATAATGAAAAAATTATACTATATTAATATTTTCAATATTTTCAATGATAATGCTAAATCATTAAAATAAAATATCCATAATATATGGGAGAAACCAAAATTGAATATATTAATTTTTTTATTACATATACGTTGAAATATTTTAAAAAATTAAATAATAACAAATATTTTAATGACAGTTATTTTAAATATTTAAATATTTTAAATATTTTATAATTTTACATCCTCAAACATTTTTTTAATTCAAAGCGAGATGTAACATTTTTAATTCTGAGAGGGTGCTGACATGGTGAAAAATTGGATTATTTTGACAACTAAACATCTATGTGGAAAACATTTAGCTAGCCTTAAAAACAACTTTGTTATCTAGAAAACATGTGGATTCGTGGAAGTTGCCGATGAGCCTCTAGCATTCCATGAACTAAGAATTTCTCTTGGAGATGCAAAAGAGAGAGATAGCAGTCTGCAATCTCAACTCCTAATCGATTATTCGCTTAAGGTAAAATTACACTTAAACTCTCCTATATACAAATTTGTTAAAAATATGCATTAGAAATGATGGGTCAATGATGAGAGTCAATTCAATTTCAACAAAAAACAATCAATAGTGGTTCATTTGTCTCCCGTGAAACAAAGAGATATTGTTGAATGTGTCTTTACGTGGAAGCCCATCATCCAACCCCATCATGTTTTAAGTTAATGTACTATACATACACCCACACATACAAAGCAGCACAAAGGAACATAGAATTCCCGAAGATTCAAATTGGGCAACAAAGCAAGCTTTAACTCAGCTAAGTTACTGTGATTATTCAAGGGTACAGGCTGCGTGACACAACGATTTGGTTTGATAGGCCTATGATGCTAAGCAAAGGAGGCAGAAACTTTTCTTCTCAAGCTGCTTGGAGATGCAGGCTTAGTTTTAGAGAAAAGAAAATAACTAATGTAAGAGTAACAAGATGGTGCCTCCCTGTGTGAGTTGCAAGGGAAGCTTCTCCAACAAGGTATAAATATTCGTCTATGAACATTTAAATGCATTTATAATGATCACTATCTATTTTTTATAATTATAAACATGAATTAACAGACTGTGACACATTAAAATAAGATGATGATAAGATGAATGTATCAACAGGCAGCCAGAAAAAACCAATTTGTTGCCTTTGTGGCTGCAGCATAAACTCCTCTCACTATTAACCATGAAATACCGATTTGTTTGAAGGTGATGTCCACATCTTTGCACAGTGCACCAAGGATTCAATGAAAAAAGGATGCAGACGGATTACCTTTTTGTGAGCCTTCTCAGATCAAGAGAAAGCCAAACTTATTAACAAAAACAACAACTAATGATTAGGAATGTCTAGTAAAGTCCAACAACACAGAACAGCATCTAGAGCAAATTGAGTGCCAATAACTATTTCAGTTGCAAATATCTCTGCAAAATACATCAAGCGTTATAAACAATATAAACGTAAAAATGGGACAGAAGAGGAAAGGGAAAAAATGAGCAACATGTTTGCATTTTCTCAGTGGCAGCATCGCAACATTGAAGAAGAACCTCGCGATTGACAATGGTGAGAGATGTGAGACCAACGGTGATACCTGAGACTGAATTCAATAGGGGATTTTTCCTGTTAGGTTGCAACAAAAACAAATGCATTCCACAACTAAACCCCAACGAGAAAAAAAATAATTAACAAAGGAATGATAGGTTTCAAGATCTGATTCTCACCTAATAATATTTTGCTTGTCTATCCTGTTTTGCCACATACCGAGATCCAAAGTAGAAATCCAAAACCTGTTCATTTTCACCACCAAAAATCATTACCAGAAAAGCATAAGGAATCTTACTAGAATGATCGATGGACAATAAGAAAATTGTTAGGGTTTTGGATTTGAGAAACTGCACTAACCTCGCAAACCTTAGGATTTGATCTTCTTCAAGTGGAAGGCGACGGCATGGAGACTCAAAACCTCCCAATCGTTGCTGACGGCAGGAAGACGACGGAAAGAGTAGGGAGCTCAAGAAAGGGGTAGGGATGAAGGCAGGAGTGGGAACGATGGGCGGGGCTTGGGGTCAAGGTGGAGGGTGGGGCGGGAAGAAGAGAAGAGAGTGTGGGAAATGGACTGTGCCGTCTGTGCGTGTGCCGCTGAAAAGAGACTGGAAAATGGGATGAGTTTTGGCGCCAAAAATAAAAATTTAAGTTTAAAAAATTAAATAAATTGAGGGGCCTATGGGAAAATTGTACTTTTTCAAAATCTGAAAGGGGAAAATGAAAATTGGTCAATTGGGCTTTGGGCTTATGGATTAGCTTCTTTGGGTGGGGTTGGGCTTTTACTTAAGTAATGAGATCTGAAATTATGAAAGCCGAGTTGTGAACTTTTGTTTTTTTGAGCAAATGAGTTATGAGCTTATAAGAATTGAATATTGATAAATTTAAATATATATAAATTATTAAATGGTGTTGTTGTGCTCTGTATACAATTTAAGTGTATAATTTTATAAATTATAAAAACCTAAATTAATAACTTAAACCTAGCTTTCATATACCTTCATCAAAAATTACTCATATATTTAAGATTTGATTACAAATCCTATTGGGTACAATACTAAAATGTGCGCGTATTATATGTAACTGTCCAGCTCATCATTGAGCACTTTGTTTAATTAATAGGAGTTTGTAACCTCTCAATTAATAGTGTGGGTCCAGATCTCGAAAATATAGCCCATGTTTGTCATCGTGATTGAAATTATTTATAAACACGTTTCACATAAGTCAAAACAAAACTCCTATCATATATTTATCTCGTATTTCGTAAATCACGATTGAAAAGTTATTTATAAGCTATTCCAAACTAGCATATAATCATGTTAAATACCAACCTGACAGGACTAGTTTGCTTATACTTTTCCTTGTTTTTTTTTTTTTTATATTTATAAAAGTTAATATACATGTAAAGTTCATAAACAGTCACATTTTCTTCCAATGCATAATTGCAAATAATTCAATTTGTTTACATGCAAAAGCGTATATAGTAATACAGTTATAATAAAATTGTAATAAATTATTTCATATACAAATTTCATAATAATTTCTTCATAAGTTGTGAATAATGTGATTATTTTATAAGATTTCTTATAATACACGGAGAAAAAACTCTAATGCTGGGTAAAAAAAAACAACTCTGATGACATTTAATTCATTACTTATTATATATTATGCTTAGTTGAATTAGTGAAGGGCAGTCTTTGCTTGATATTATACTTCGTTTTCTTGATGTTGTTGTTGTTTTTTTCTTTTTTGTCGTTGTGCTTTTTATTTCTCTTTCCTTTTATTTGTTGCTTTCCGTTCTTGGATCGCAAAGTCGATTATTCTGGTAGGTTAGTTGTTAAGTGCAAGGAGAAAGAGAAGCTATATGGAATGCCCTTGTCGTGTCTAGCGAGAGTTCCTCATGCAACGTTTAGCCTCCTGTGCAAGAATGTGAGAAAATTGCAACAGTCCTGGGGGCGGTACTCAAAGCATGTTTTGGTAAGAGAGCGTCCCACCGGGCGCGGGGGTTGGGGCATTGGCAGATTACATGAATCCTTCGTAGTAAGCCACCGTGCCATTCTACACCTTTGGGGTACCGGTAACTTCCAAATACGCCTCCACAAGCCTGTCTGAATTGTGTTTTCCTCAGTACTCATATGACGATGGGATGACCAAAGTGAAAACTCTCCAGTTTTTGTCCAACGCCATCTTGGTACTATCATTACGATGGCCCCCCAGGGGTATATTTGCTTAGGTCATGCAACACTGTATTAGGTAAGCAGGAGTTTAGAATATCACATCTTCATCCCCCGATTCTGTCATCAAGTCTCTTACCTTTTGCCAAAGGTTCATGATGGGGGAGCCAACAATGACTTGATGCCAGGGATAAGTTGCCCGCATTGACTTTCTGAACCGAGATGCTACAGAAGTCATCCATGTATGCTTTAATCACCCCGGCTTGTTCCAAACTGGCTTCCGTGAAGAGAAGAAGTGCGATATTTGCGTCCTATGTTTCTTCAATCGGGAACGGCCGCCAGACCTTGCTATCAACCTCTGCTAGGTTCATGTGGCCCCGTTTCTCAAGAACAAATAGACAAGGAGTTATAGGTCCTGTTTAATATCACGTATTAAAAATAGGGATAGACACTATAATTGTAATTGATGAGAAAAATCATTCAAACAGCTTTTAGCATAAGTAACTGCTCATGACATGAGATCATTAAAAAAGATGGTATTCTCCAATCCCACATATATGGGCTTGTTTAATCCCATATAATAAACAATCTCTCTTGTTAAATACTCTTTTAATGGATTTTTTTAAATCCTAATCCTAATTTTTATCTCTCATTTTCAATGCTTTCTGCCAAATGGGATAAAAAAGCTCCTTTACCAAATGCTTCTCATGGGACTGAAAGAGTCGGCCCTGGCCCCATTCCTCATGAGCTGCATGGATGCCCACGATATACACCCCCAGATAACGTTTATCATCCATCCCGGTAGTTCTGGTCCATGTGGACATTCCATGATGGATCTCCATCGATCTTAGCCTATTGTAGGCTTAAACCCTTGCCTTCCTTTTCTACCCCAGGGAATGCAAAATGTCTTGTGGAAGGATGATATTGTCCGTGCCTTGTCGACCAGCTACAAAGCTGTTTTGATTGGGCGAGACCACTTCCAGCATTATCGATTTCAATCTATTTGTCAGGGCCTTGGTGATGATTTAGATCTTGTATATAACATTACATAGGCTAATGAGCAGAAAATCCTTAAGGTTGCGTTTGGTACAAAGCATTAAAAATGAGGGATACGAATTGGGTTGAGAGTAAAAAACTATATTAAAAAGGTATCTAGCATAAGTAATTGTGTGATACTTGGGATTAAGTAGTCCCATATATGTGGGATTGAAGAATACCATGAGAAGAGATAGTATTCTCCAATCCTACCTACATGGGATTGTCTAATCCCACATGATAAGAAATCACTCATGCTAAATATTTTTTTAACATATGTTTTTAACCCCAATTACAAGTCTTATTCTTTATTTTTAATACTTCGTACCAAACGCGACATAAAAGTTTGGAGGTATTCAGTCTTAGGAATGACCACGATAGAGGTGTGATTCAACCGGCGAATTTGGTCAGGTTGCTCTATTGCAGTTAAAACAGTTATAATGACCAGGAGAAGTTACTTTCTGGCAGATAATTTTATTTAGTTAGTAATAAAATAACTTTATTTTTTTTACAAAAATTATTTTATGCAAGTAGTTCACACGAAAATAGCTTGGGAGAAGTTACTTTTTGGCAGCAAATCCTTGCAGTCATTTAAATAATTATTATTATAAGGGTGTGGTTCAAAATTTAAGATGTTCTCCCCTTAATATATTATTGCATCAAGAGGACGTCATGACCCTTTAGTTTTAATTCTCAACCTACAAAAATTGAAAGGGTCTTGGACACTTCAAGGACTACAGCCTATTCTCCTGCTCATTTGCTTTAAAAATAAATAATTAAATAAATATTGTTAGTCAAGCTAACTAATCATTATTAAACAAATAAGAAACTTTTTTTGGTCAAAATATAAGAAACTTAATAATACACCTTTTAAAATCTTCATATGGGAGTGATGCGGAATACTTTGTATATAAACTCAAATATATATCACGTATTTCCTTTTTTGTGAAGGATTTTCTACTTATTTCTTTTGACATTGATGATCGATTCTCCATAGACGATAGTTGAGTCTATCTTAGCTTTCCCATATGTACAAGAACATCACAATTACTTGAAAATGCAAAGGGGGCATGTCACTTTCAGTACACCGTTTGTCTTTTTCTTCATTTTTCTATCTCAGTAACGTATCATTCATTATACATATAGCTTTATATATATATATATATATATATATATATTCAGCACGGAGGACCTTAAAAATCATCATATCTTTCCACTTGTTAAAACTCTACAATTGACCATTTCGACAATGAAATTCAAATCAGATCATTCAGTTCATTTATTTGCGTCATTAAAAAGCCTTCAAGTTCTGGTATTAGTTCCTATCTAACCGTGAGAGTTATTGTGTGTACATACATGAGGACCCATTATCTTACTTTTCATACTTTGGTCGGTGAGGTTTAGATTGTGACACGATTCTTTAGAATAATTCTCAATACTCCCTCCGTTCCTTATTATAAGAGACATTTGATGCTTATGACATGTTCCCATATATAAGAGACACTTAAAAGTTGTCTCTATTTTTTTTTATTGATTTCCTATTTTACCCCTATTTATTTTGTCTCCAACTCATACTCTCTCTCCCTACTTCTCTTTCTTTTAATAATTTAATTGTTCTCTCTCATACTCTCTCTCCTTATTAATGGGGGCATTGTTGGAAAAAACATTATATTTTTTACACATTAATTGTCCTCAACTAATTTTAACTGTTTTTTTATCAACGTAATTTGGTTTTGTCTCTTATAATAAAGAACGGAGGGAGTATAATCCTAAGCATTATTATTTTACCCTTTATTGCTTTGAAATTAATGAAGATTATCATGAAAAGCCTAGCTAGCTAGCTAATCTCTCAGCATTAGTTTTTTTTTGTTAATATAATTTTTAAATAGAAATAATTAAAAAGTTTGAATTATGGTAATCATGTTTGTTTTGAAGTTTTTTTTTTTGAGCTAAGTTTGTTTTGAAGGTTTGAGTTGTTGATAAGAGTTCACACGATTTATAAAATGAAAGGGTGCTGTTAGGTTTCACTACAAAAAAAACACTTAATTACTGATAGAATCACCAATGAAAAAATTCTCTCAATAATTTTTGTCAGATATCTGTCAAAAGTTTCAGTCGGTAAATTTACCGACGAAACTTCCGATGGAAATTACCGATAGAAAAATTCCGTCCAAAATTTTATTTTGCGACGGAATAAGTCATGGAATAATTCTGTCAGTAATTTTCTTTGAAAATCCATGGCAAATTCTGTCAAAAATTCTAATGAAACTTCTGACAGATTTCTAACAAAAATTACTGACGGAATGTTTTTCGTGGCTAATCCATCAGTAATTTAAAATTTTTGAAATTTTATTTTTTATTATAATATGATAATAATTTGTATTATATAATAAGATAGTGATTTATATAGGTTTA